GGTAAAAATTACCAAAAGAAAATTGTAACACAAAGGAACAACTGCAAATTAGGTGTGTGTCCTGAAATTAATTTACATAATTAATGGACAAAATAATTATATCTAACATTTGTAATATATTTATATATAATTTGTTGTCAACAAAGTTACACTGTGCTTCACACAAAACAAAAAAGCAGAAATAATACAAAGATTGGCAGATTTTGTCAGCTCAACTATTAGCTGACATCTAGTAGTGGGCGGAAAACACCTGTGACTGATTTCCCCAGTGTTTCGAGCAGCCTTGCTTTATAATGGGAACTTTGTAAAGGGGTTTTAAACCAGCATTTAAGCAGCATTAAGCTACATTAATGCAGTCCTCTCCAGGTGATGGTCCATGTAAAAAGACAGTGAGGAAGTAGCACCAGTGGAAGGACTGGAACTGAGCTTTTTCTTAATGTATCAAACTGATCAAACTGAAGACAGGAGAAGACAGGACCCACCGTTTTTCTTCTTGCTTGAGGCTTTAGGCCAGACAGGATGTTATGACATTTAGCTGTTTATTAGGAGGATGAACACTGGTGGAGTGATGGTTAATTTGTAGAAACCTGAGATGAGGTGGGCAGACTTTCAGGTCAGACATGAGACATAGTGTAGTGCAAGTGTCACAAGAGGATGCAGCAGATGTATGAGAGAGGAAAATTGTTATAGCAAAAACAGAGGACAAAAACTTTCAGATGTCTGTTTAATACTGGCCACATGTAGTGGCTGTAATGAAAATAGTAAAAGTGATTTTGCATATTTTTCTGCAGGACATAAACAATTATTAATTTAGTTGTGACCATTAATGCATTTTTCTTTTATTTTATAGTGTTTAGATTTGGTGAAGCCATATATTTTCATGAATAATGTGCTCTGACCAAGCAACAGAAGCAACATTTGATTTATACACTCCTTACAGTTATTGAACTCTGAACCTTTATACTGATACTGCTTTGCTCTCATGATTTGTGGCTCACTGTGCTAACAAAGTGTAACCCAGGAAGTACAAAGAACAGCATATAGAAGCTAAAAGGGTTTCCAGACAGATAGTTGTTTGGTTTTGCCTTAGCAATATTGCATCATCAAAGAAATACACCTGAATATAATTCCGGTTTTATGTATTGCTGTACCTGATCTCGGTGTGCTCATTTTGCATCATAGCAGACAGAACATTTAGGGGCTTGTGTAACTGCAAATGTTGTGACTTATACTAGACAGGCCAAGTTAGCATTTAAGTCACAGTTTGTCCTCTGATCTAACTTCCTGCCTGATTAATTACACCAGCTTTTGTTTGGCATAGTTCTTCTCAGTGCATCGAACTTGTTTCTCATGTCAGCAGTTATGTAGATGTTTTCAAATCACTTAGGGTTTCTATGCTGAGAAGCCACAATTAACCAATAAAGCAAAGTAAAAGACTTGCATTGCATACAGTAACTTGTGGTTGCCTAAAACCTATGGACAATCATGATGACATGAGACCAAACACAATAGCAACAGAGAAACAGGATGTTTGCTCCACACTCCAAACTATAATGTCTAACATATACTGTACACATCTGACAGTGCCACAAAAAAAGACAACTTGATATCAGCTGTAGGCTCACTGTAGTCAGGAGGAGACAAAAAGAATGAGGAAAAAGAAAGAACACAAGAAAAAATGTGAGCTTGGTGTAACTTTGCTCCCACAGCCTGAGTCTTGTAAAAAAAAAAGAGTGCAGGTGGAAATGTGCAAATCTGTGCAGAGATTATTTTAAAACCTGAGGTCGATGCCAGGTTTTCTTGCAGATTTTGTGGTTATGAAACCCGCTGACCACATGGCCAAAATGGAACCTTTAGTTAGCACTCAGGGTAAATCCCTGCGGGCTGAAGTTAGAACTCCCCTGTGGTTTCAAGTTAAGAGTGGTTTCAGCTATAATGATTCCTCAGCTATAAAGGGTAGCCTGCAAGATGAAAGAAGAACATACTGTGTAGTTGTGTCTAAGCTAAAAGTGCACAGTGAACACCAGAAAGGCTGCACATCTTTGGTTTGACATCTGAACTATGTCTGTCGTTGAGCTGTTAACCACAACTGTGATTTTTATTAATATTAATTTTATCTAAGCTTCATTGTTTGATGTGCCACAATAAAGAGAATCCAGTCTATAAAATGTTTACAGTTGTTGCTGTCTGTTATTTTGAGAGCAGAACATCTATAACATCAGCAGCTTTTGGTTACACTTCTGCATGTCACTCTCTCTATATATATCCTTATGGTTCCTTACACCTGGCTAAGCGTGATTGTTCTGACTCACTGTGAGAAAACATAAACCTTTACATCATCTCAGAATGACTCAGTGCTGCACTAATATTCTTTGTGAAATTTGAAAATAATTGTGCTGCAGTCTCTCTTAGTGACTTTCTCCCCTATAAGTACCTCCAACAATTGGCCAACACATCATGATGGCAGCTGCATACCAAAAACCCTTGTCCTGTTTCCAGCAGATGAGATAACATCCTACCATTTGTGGTAAATAATTAAAAAGTACAGTTTTACTTTCTGTGCTCGGGGCAGTAGGATCAATAAAGGCTTGTCTTCAGAAAATATTTAAGAGCTTTGTCCCCCAAAGCAAACTATTGCGACCTAAGATATCCAGCATACGTGTACAACCAGCCAAGATATCCAACCAAGATATCAACCAAGTTTAGGGTGTAAGTGTATGCTCCTCCAGTGATTTAAATTTAAATGCACACCTGGACAGTGTGCATAAATATGCAGCTGTAATTATCTCCCTTGTTTCCTAACGCTCTCTGCCATTAATTCAAACAAGTGTGTGACTATGGAGTTTCTAGTCACGTGCATTTGTTGTATGGCCAAACTGCAATAGTTAAACAGCTGATCAAAGTGTTCCTCTTAATAGTCTGGCACTGTCTTATCTCAATTAGTATATTGGCACACTAACAGACATGCATTGCCAGGTTCCTTTGGCCAAATATAAACGTTGGGGCGACCGTGCTTTTACTGTCGCAGCCCCTAAATGGTGGAATAGTTTACCTTTTAATATTAGATCAGCTACTTACCTGACAACTTTTAAATCCTTGCTTAAAACATATTTATTTGCCTTGGCTTTTAATGCACTGTAGAGCAGTAGTGTCGTGTGTGTGTCTGAGTTATTGTGTTTTATTTTTGCACTGAACCTATTTATTTTATTTTAGTTATTTATCGTGCCGGGCGCACCCTTAGAGATAGGGTGAGGAGCTCGGTCACCCTTAGAGATAGGGTGAGGAGCTCGGTCACCCTTAGAGATAGGGTGAGGAGCTCGGTCACCCTTAGAGATAGGGAACGCCTCTGCATTCCCCCGGAGGAGCTGGAGGAAGTGTCTGGAGAGAGGGAAGTCTGGGCATCTTTGCTTAGACTGCTGCCCCCGCGACCCGGTTCCAGATAAGCGGAAGAAAATGAATGAATGAATTTTATTCTGCCTACGTAAAGTGCTTCGGTCAACTGGATGTTGTTTTTAAAGTGCTATATAAATACATTTGATTTGATTTGATACAATAGCTCCTAGTAGTTTCTCCAGTCACTTGAGGACAGTAGTTTACCTAATGTGTGATACTAGCTACAAGTTCTCGCTCTAAAGACAATAAACGCACACACACGAGATTAAAAAAATTCATAAAACAGGACAATGTAAACAACCAGCAAGTAGTTTATATCTGTCCTATGTGTTTGTTCGGTGGGGCCTGCTGCCAAGACGGATACAGAACAAAACAGTGAGGCAAGAGCTCTACCACTCTGTAAGTGTGGGCGTGACAATAACAGCAGTGATGTAACAGCAGGCAGTTTCTCTCATGGAGGAATTTCCTTCTACACAGGTCAAGATAAACAGGTAGACTGAAACACAGGCACTGAGTGAGAGAGGATGTCACTTTCATATTTTCAGCATTTGTGTTCAAGCCAAACTTTCAGTGCTGTCCCACATCTGAGTAAATAGCCTGCACCAAAAGTCCTGAGCCTGTGAAATGGTTCATGCTTCATGTCCTAGGCAAGTCTTATTACAAAAGACATGGTTCAGCCTGACTAGTGCTGCCATATTGATAAAACTGCTATAATGTTGTACAGTATACTACATTTTACAGATCGTTTCTACGAGCAGTAAGGCTGAAAAAGCTGCAAATCATAACACACACCAGAGATGACAATACAGCGGCATTGACAGTTTCAGTGACAGTGTTAGTGGCATCAGATATTCGGTCACAACTTGATATAATAGAATACTGATTTGAAAAAAAAAAAAATCAACATGCAGTTGAGTGCATGTAGCCTGCAGCAGGCAGGTCATTTGCAGATTCAGGTTTTCTGTGTGTGGGAGTGAGTGTAGGTATTCAAAGAACAGTAATAAATAACTGAGTAACCATCAGTTGTCATCCTGCCCAAAAATGTGGAGCAGTTGAAGTCCTTCACATGCTGCACCAGGACACTGGCTGACACCCCAGCAGCACCAAGGGAAGTTCACATATCACCAGCACAAGTGCAGCTTCTGTACATAACTTATTTTCTATTCCAGTTCCACGAGATAAAGATAAAAATCACATGTGTTTCAAATTATCTCTGGCATAAAACAGTGGGTGATAAAAATAAAAAAAAAACAGTGTAATTATTAAACTAGCTGAGTCTGCGTGGGCACAGAGGGATTCCCTTGCTTCTCAGTTGTCTTTCTATTGCACAGGGGCGGAGTTAACTGGGATTTTCGTTCTCTGTTCCTGTGTGGGATGGTGTGGGCTATATTAAGAGGTAAAGAGTTAACCTCCACTACTGGCATCACACTCTGAATGATGGAGAGACAACAAGCAGGACAGGAGGAGAAGCTGGTGGAGGTCAGGACAGAGACGGACATTCTGGAAGTCATTCGTCAACCCAGAGGTTCACGTACAGGCTGCCGGGGATGCTTTAAGTGTATGATTGTTCTGACAGTGGTGATGGGATTGGTCACTGTGGCTCTGATGGGCTTCATCTTTCATCATTTAATGTTCAAATCATCATGTGACCCGGTAAGAAACTCCTCATTGTATTGACATAAAGTTTTGTAAGCAATTACCATCACTGTTTTCATTTCTTCATGTGTGCATGCTTGTCCATTTCTACAGGATGCTCCATCACTGAGTGACATAGCACAAGTCAACAAAGCCCATAAACTAAAAGGTAAGCCTCACTTGCTTTCAACTGTCCTATTCAGATATTAATATCTCAATGTGATGATGAACAGCTTTTCTGTTTCCATCATAGAGAGTGATGAAAAGGGGAGATATGACATCTTCACCGTGGATACACCTGGAGACTACTTAATCTACGGATGGGTGAAACTGTCTAGTAGCAATGATGATGTAATCCTGAAGCTCATGTTGAATCAAACCAGCAGAACCCTTGAAACGAAAAACAATGGGACAATGCACTACTTTTTTGTTCCAGTCAAACTGGTTAAAGACAGCAAAATAAGTATTTACTTCAACTCTTTCTGCACAGACAGCTTGTTCCATCTCTATAAATTCTGACCAGGGTGAAATCAAACCGTCTGTATGTAAGCATCAAAAAGCTGATGTTTATGTATCTGCTATGCTGTCAACAATTGTTATGCAATTGTCTCTGAATACATAGGTGCACTTATGAGGAAGTATGTTCATGAAAAGTCAAGCAGTTTCATTTTGCTCTACATGGAGAGGGTGTAGTTCCTCTGAAGTCTCACACGTAGAAGTGGGATTTTCCTCCAAAGGTGCAGTTACAGATGTTCCCTTTTTACATTCTGCACTTACATCTGTTCAGCATATCATGAGAGAATGCTGACAGGGAATTTATGCCGTTATAGTAGGAATACTATTGTTCATAATGACTCGGGCTAATTTCAGGTAGAAAGCACCTTAAGTTGGAGCTGCTGATTTAATTTGAGATGCATACCTTGACAAGAAATTGTTATACAGCCTAGAGAAAGTGTCTTATAATGTGCCTTACCTTCTTGCCATCCATCATCCTGTAAGAGCACACAGAAATAATGCTGATCTCACTTTCACAAGAACATGTTTCCTGTGTACTTAGTCATTTTCATCTCTCTGACTGATTCCATTTACCTGTGAGGATGACCACCCAGGAAGGAACCGCAGGTTTCATTTCCATTTTCAAGAGCTGATCAACTCTCTGGTTATAATATCCAAGGCAGTAAAATTACCGAGGTGGAATGTTTTAACGTTGTTACAATCCTGCAGAAAGTCCAGTGAAAGCTTTGTGTCCACCTTGCTTTTTGTCATTGATGTGTGGAATTAAGAAATTCTTTGGGATAGATTTTGTCAGTAAGTGGATAGAAACCTAATGTAGTGAGCTAGTTGCACTCTCATAATGTGGACAGAGTTATAGAATTTACAAACTGTAAAACCCTTGAAACTAATTTGTGATTTCTGCTATATACTGTAAATAAATAAAAATAAAATAACTTGATCATTCAGCTTGTAAAGATTGTGACTGTGAATTTGTAATGTGTTTTTCTATTTTTATTCAATTATATTAAGAGTTTCAAAGAGAGGTTCTCTGATTAAGTGTATTTTTATTCTAATGTTAGTATTTGAAATTTATTTTGATGCTGATACGGGACAAAAAGAGATACCTTCTAGAGGTATCTGTTGAAACAGTCACCTGTACAAAATTGCAAGTTTAAACATGACCCTTCACTGTTTCACACCCACATACTTGGCAAAGCTCCCGCAGACTGCTTTTGTGTGCACTGTAAATCTCTCTTAGTTAAAAGAGCAAGTAAAAGTTTACATGTTATGCTTAGAGCTGCAGGGCTTTCTGACGTAATCATGATAAAATGTCTGAAGTAAGTTCAACACATGCATGTCAGAGGATAATTTGTTAATGTGATAGTTAAAGATCATAAAATACAGCTGGGTTAATAGGAAGCATAGCAACAGGAAGACAAAATCCAAATTAAGCAACAACAACAAAAAAACAACACATGCAAACTATTAATATAGAAATTGTACTTTAAGAAACTGCAATGAAAACAGATGTTTAATGTCACACATTTTCACTCATTTGACTTCTATTTTAGGCAGGAAGGTCTTCAGATGATAGGCCTGCTATCAAGACAGATATAGAACAAAACAGTGAAGCAAGAGCACTTCCACTTTGTAAGTGTGGGCGTGACGATAACAGCAGTGATGTAACAGCACGCAACACGTTTCTTCAGACAAAAGCTCTTCAGGATGGATTTTTGCTGTTTCTTGGGATAAAAACTTTATGAGTGTCACATGATTTTACAGATGGGGACAAAAATTCTGCAATTTTTTTTTGTTTTGTTTAATAGTTTATGTGACTGGCCCAACTAGGCTCAGGTAACTGTATTAATTAGTTTTTACCAGGGCAGTTTAGGTTCATGGAATAACTGACACTGAGAAATTAGGTATGGTCAGCTAAGTTATAGTAGGCCCCTTCCAGTTTCCCAGCATATTTAAACCCATGAAACCACCATACTCCCACTTCCACTTTTTGTTACCCGCACCCCCACTCTATGTACCCCTGCTAGGGGTGTGCCAGTGCTTATTTCATTAGTAGTCTGCCTGTTAAAATTAAATCTACATAATCAGATTTGTATGTGTTCACTGGTCAAACTTTGGAGTCCTCCTTCCAAGTAGCCTACAATAACAACATGCTGAAATTGGCAAAAAGTATCTCCTCTGATTTTTCACATCTTAAATAGCAAATACCAACTTCTGCCCTCCAGTAGGTTTAGAGTTCCTTATTTTGAAAACGAACAGGGTGAAAAACTCATTTGTCCATCAGTCCATCAGTGTTATGATGGACTATGAGACCATGATAATTATGTAAATGGGGTGTTAGAAGTGGTTTATTGCTATTTTTTGTTAATTTGTTGTTGAGACTGTTTTAGCATTGGAGCTGCCTTGTGTTACCAGAAAAATTTCAGAATTTATCTGCTAATAGTGTTGTTGTATCATATAATATCATATTATGTTTCTTTTTGTTCTAAAATTGAAAATGAAATACTTTAAGAAACAATCTGGCATCTGTTCTGGGAATATTTCCACAACCATTTTGTCAGAAAAAGAATTGTGATAACTGATATTCCTCAGGGTGCAGTTACATTTATGTGACAAAGATAAACATCATTAAATTGTCATACAGGCCTTCCAGCTCCTCTTATGAATTAGGTTTGACACAGAAAAGCAACAGATTATGCACAAAATCCATATCTGTATAAAAGACACAGCTAAGCAAACTTTCAGAACGAACAGCATGTCTGTTAGTGTGCATCCAGCTCAGGGAGCCATCATGCATAATGTTGCTATAGCACTCTGAACAGGGATTAACATGTATGAAAGGTGCTATATACAGTAAATAAAGTTTATTAGATTAGCTTTGACACCTGTGTTCAACAAGAGCTGTGAGAAAACTCAACAGATATAAATTCATAGATTTTTCTTTCCTTTTTTATATTCTTTCATTCATTCAAAAGGAAATGCACAGCCTGCCTGCACACAGCAGAGCTAGTATAAACATCAGCCATTCTGAGACACCTGTCACACTGAGTGAGACTATAAATGAAAGCATTGCATCACTGACAAGGTAAATAATGAGTGGTTAATGCCCTGCCATATTCACACACATCCCCCCACACACGGATGATAGTGTGTAGTAGTATTAGATGAAGTAGTAGATGATACTGCCCAGGGCTGCTCAAGCTGAAAAAAATGTTATGGCAGGATCTGTACAATGATTTGTCATATCTTCCTCTTTGTTATGAATATCAGGATGATTTGCATATTCAGGATGTCTTGCCACAAAAACTTGTTTTGCTTCATTCCTTTTTTTACATTTTCTTTTCTTTAACTTCAAGGTACTTTATACATGTACTATACATGTTAGAAAGCACATACCATTGAATCAGCGATGCCATGGTGGTGTCACAAGGCATATGCCATTATCAGCATGCTAGATTGAAGGTTACTTGCATTTATTGTGATAGCCTAATAAACAATATACAACACTTAACTGACATTTTCTGAACCATATTATATGTGATCCTGTGTATGATCATGCTGCACAAAATGTTCTTCTTCCAAAAAAAAGATGATGTTCTTCATCCCATCTTAGTCTTAGTCTTAGACTAAACACTTTCATAAAGTTGCTGCCTTTCAAGAGTGCTGCCAATAGCTTCCTGATGGCCAGGAAGGCCTTGGTTTCTAGATAGGTAGGCTCCTATAATGGAATGATCCCACTTGAGAGGTGCAGATCAATCATCAGATGCAAAAGACTAGACCGTCAAAGTATGGGAAAGTGGGCATTACCAGCTTGCCTCTGAAAAAGGTCTTTTTAAGCTAGGTTCATCCTTCAGCCTCTGGATCTATGTTTCCTCAGGCTTGGCTTGAACAGAAGCTTCTCCATAAATGTTCAACATGTTCATGTAAATCAAATTTCTGAAATGCAAAAGTGAATAAGTTCCTAAAAGTCAGGAGGAAGAGAAAAACAGTAGTTTAAACTGCTTTAAATGATGTCTTTTCTTGGCCACACATGCAACAAGTTGCAAACAAAACACTGACATATTACTATTTTATAAAGTTTATATTCCCTTCCTGGAATGGACACCTTAATGTGGTGGAGGGGTTTGAGCGCCTGAATGATCCCAGGTGCTATGTTGTCGGACATGGACAGGCTGTGGCTTTACAAGGTAACATAACAGTAAACACACAGTTAAAACATCCCATAAGTGTATATAAATAAGAATAAAAATGTAAATGTTTCTTAAAAAAAGTACGAGAAAGCCCTGTTTATAAAAGTGCTCAAGCATTAATAACCTGGCTTGTTTGAACAGCCATTTTACAGCCAATTGGAGTTATTTTAAGTTCAGGATTGTTTTGTTTGTAATGAGTAAATAGCTCTTTCTTTATAATAATGCATAAAATAGACTTATTTTAATGTAAAACAGCTTTACAACTTTGTACTCCTCTATGTGGCCAAAACTCACACAGCAGTGATCATCTGATTCAAGCAACCATAGACCTGAACCTATACATTACTTATACCCTGACTCAAAACCAAGTGAATTACTCCACTTATCAGTTACTTCACTTATACCATTGCTTAGTTAAAAAATCTTGATCTAACTTGTGTGGCACCTTTCTATGCATTTCTGCACACTCAAAGCACTTTCACCATTAACTCACTTCCTGAGCTGGATGCACACTAACAGACATGCTGTTCGTTCTGAAAGTTTGCTTAGCTGTGTTCAGTGTCTTGCTCAAGAACATTTTGATATGTTGACTCGAC